TGAATCCACAAAATAACTTTCTTTAATTCAATATTAACTCTATCTAATAAAACTTCAGGGTTTTTATGAGAAAAAAATACACTTGAATCATCTGCAAAAAATATGAAAGATAGTACATCAGATAAAAGATAAAAATCATTAATATATAATATAAAAAGAAGGGGGCCAAGAAGGGACCCCTGAGGGACCCCACAAGATATAGTTTGATGACTTGAGTCAGTTCCATTTAATGATACATATTGTTTTCTGCCTGTTAAATAGCTCCTGAACCAGCTAAGAGCGATGCCCCTCACTCCATAATATGACAATTTACTTATTAAAATTTCATGATCAACCGTATCAAACGCCTTAGAGAAATCCAAAAATATACCAATTGTATGAAGGTGATCATCTAGTGCTTGAGCAATTTTATCAACAAAGTGTAAAATTGCATGTATAGTGGTGTGCTTTTCACGAAAGCCAAATTGGAATTTTGAAAATATTTCAGTCTTTTTTTAAAATATCACTGTTCTATCATATATAAGTTTTTCTAAAAGCTTTGAAAAGGATGTCAATAATGAAATGGGTCTATAATTACTTAATGTTTGAGGATCACCCTTTTTAAATATTGGCACTACCTTAGCAATTTTCATTTGTCCTGGTACAATACCAGATAAGAAAGACAAATTATAAATATGAACAAGTGGTATCACAATTCCATGTATAATATCCTTAATTAATTCATTTTTTCATGCCATCAAAGCCAGGAATCTTATTACTTTTAAGCGAACTCACCAGTTTAAACAATTCTATTTCATTTGTGGGCATTAAAAATAGGCTATCTATATTGGGTTCTTGCATAAACTCAATAAAACTTTTCTGACATCTAGGAATAGAGTCCTGAAGTTTCAGCCCGACATTACAAAAATAATCATTAAAATTGTCCACAATAATTTGTCTATCTTCTACGGAACAACCATTCACATTTATACATTTGATATTTGTAGTTTTTACTGATGGCTTAAAAAAACTTCTAATTACTTTCCATGTATTCTTAATATTATTAAATGTCATTTGAAATTGAGCAGAGTAATATTTTTTCTTAGCAACACGCAATACAGAAGTAAGAGTATTTCTATAATTAGAATACTTTCTCCACAAAAAATCAGAGCTTCTCCTTTTATATTGATAATACAACTTATTTTTCTTAGTAATTAGGTGATACGTACGTAGACGTATCACCTTTTTATTTCGTCAAGATTTTTATTATTATTATTAGGTGGTCTGTTGAAAACAGATCACCTATTGTTTTCGTCAGAATTTTCTTTCTTCTTTATTATTTATTTATTCTTTATTTTTATTTCTCCCCCTTTTTTGTTCAGACGATAACTGAAGATCAGTTTAATCAATTTCTTTTAATTTTGGCACAGTCATAGGTCATTGTCATGAGACGTGACAGGAACATTTTCAAGGTCATTAGGTTATCGTGACGTCATCCAGGCGCCATTTTGTGAAATCACGTTATCCATCATATCTTCATGATGCATAAGCAAAGGTCATTCATATTCATGTCACATATACTTCAGGTCAAGGGTCAACAGGTCATGTCATCAAAGGTCACATAAAGGTCATGACGCGCGCGTACGCGTGCGTCAAAATTTCAAAATGCTCAAAATCATCTTACTATTAAACGAGAGTACGAACCAGGTCATTTTAAGCATTTCAAAATTTTCCGTCCGTACGTGTCCCCGCGCGCGTTGCGCGCGCTCACAGCGCGCGCAAAAAGGTCAAATTCAAAATGTTTACATGATTTAGATTCCTCTTACCGTAAATGACAATTTACATTAATTTCAGTCACTCTTGACCTTTCATAAGGCCGTGAGCGCGCGTCAAAGTTCAAAATCCGCGCGTGCTGCTATGGGCAATATAATGCAAATTTGATCAAAAACATGCCATTTTAAAAATCAAAATAGCTCTTCAGATAGTCTAATGACCCCAACTTTTATATCATGGTTAGAAAAAACATGAGTTGGAGATATGATTTCATGTCTCATTTGACCCTCGATTAACTCATGACGTCATCCTAATGGCCTCCCAACTCAAAATTTCAATTTGCATATTATGACGTCAGCAGATTTCTGGAAAATTGATTGTATCTCTGTCAATATTGATCGATTTTCTTTCAAATTTTGATATGATCTAGCTGAGACAATTCTCTACAAATGCAGTCACCACAATTTTTCATTTTGACAAAGGTATCATGGCGTATTTTTGCGATTAAAGGTGGCATGTCAATTTTTCACATTTTGCGTGTATTCTCTAAGGGACATGACTTTTCCTCAAAACTGGATTCTACATCCTGTCTTTTGCGAGCAATATCTCCGTCGTTTTAGCTTTGTTTTCGCTGAGCTTCGAGTATGTTGTAGCTGAGACAATAAGCTATCACAAGTGTGACCTTTATTTTTCGATCAGATGCCGGGATCATGCTCATATCTCACTTGCAAAGTGGGATTTGATCATACCATTTTCCGTTTACGTGTAATCTCTATGGGAAATGTTTTGGTATATCGGTAACTCACTTGACTTCCATCCTCGAGGTCCCTGGTTCGAGTCCGGGCGTCTCCAACAATTTTTTTCCACTTTTTTTTCTTTTTGACCTTTTAATTTACCATCTCCTTTAAATATTAAAACACGTACAATCGCAAATAATGTAATAGACAACCATATTTACTTTATTATTACCCTATTATCACTTGATCCATTACTTTTTGCATGTAATCCTTATGGGAAATGACTTTTTCTCAAATCTTGATTCTACATTCTTGTCTTTTACGAGCAATATCGCCATTATTTCGGCTTGATTTTTGTTGATTTTTGAGTATGTTGTAGCTGAGACTATACGCTTTCTCAACGTCCCCTCATTTTTTGATCAGATGTCATCATGGTCTGTTGATGATCATCAACATCACCATGATCATCATCATCGTCATCACCATTACTATCAAGATCATCATCATGATCATCACTCTTAATTTTAATTTGCATATTATGACGTCAGCATATTTTTGGAAAATTGATTGTATCTCTGTAAATATGGATCAATTTTCTTTTTAATTTTGATATGTTCTAGCTGAGACAATTTTCTACAAATGTAATGTTCACAATTTTTATTTTTGACAAAAGTATCATGGTGTATTTTTGCGATTAAAGGAGGCATGTCAATTTTTCGCATTTTGCGTGTATTCTTTATGGGACATGACTTTTTCTCAAAACTGGATTCTACACTCCTGTCTTTCGCGAGCAAAATCTCCGTTGTTTTAGCTTCGTTTTCGCTGAGCTTCGGATATGTTGTAGCTGAGACAATGAGCTATCACAAGTGTGCCCTTTATTTTTCGATCATATGCCTGGATCATACTCATATTTCACTGGCAAAGTGGGATTTGAGAATTCCATTTTCAGTTTACCAAAAAATGATCATCAATATCGTCATTATCGTATTTATGAATATTATCATTAGATCATCATCGGCACACTTTCATGATACAAAAATAGCTTACGTATCACCTAATTCGTCAAAGTGACGAATTAAAGTCTAGTTGACCTTAATATTGATTTAGTTATCCATGGCATACGAGGAACTTTATTATAATTCTTCTTTTTATATTCAACCAGAGGAACATTCTCACCATACAACAACATGAATTTAATAAAGAAATTATCAAAAGCACTTTCAACATTTTGGTCTGAAAGAACATCATTCCAATCAGTTGCAATTAATGCCTCTCTCAATTTGGCAATATTTTCAGGAGTTCCTTTACGGACAGACGTGCGGCCTCTAGGCTCACAATTCAATTTCACCGAAGACAACATACAGTATACAGGAAAATGATCAGACATGTCAGATACTATAATTCCAGAGGGTGGATATGGTTGTACATTACAACAATTATTGTCAATTAAAGTACTGGAAACTTCTGTTATTCTTGTTGGCTTAGTGATTAGGGGCAATAATGAGAAAGACATTAACATGTTTAGAAAAACATCAATTCGATTATCGTTATTACAAAGTAATAAATTCAAATTAAAGTCTCCCATAAGAGTGACATTCCAACTAAAAGTGGATTGTCTAAAATTGACTGAATTTCATTTACAAAATCATTAAAGTTACCATTTAGGGGCCTATATACAACTCCTATAAAATGATTCTTTTGACCAGGGTTATCAATCTCAACAAAGATAGTTTCTATATGATCTGACATTATATCAAGATCGTGATGTATCTGGTATTCTAATTGGGAAGGAATATACAAAGCAACACCTCCTCTACGTCTACTTTGTCTATTGTTGTTCACAAGATTAAAACCAGAAATAGAAAAAAGGCTCCTATCGGCTTCATTCGTAAACCATGTCTCAGTGACACCAAGTATTACACGTCCTAGATTGATATTATCAATGAATCTTAACATTTTGTCAAAATTCTTACAAACACTACGCATATTTATATGAAGAAGAGTTAAGCCACTGTTCGCATGATTATATTTAGATGCCGTTTCAAAAAATTGATCTTCTGTATGATAATTACAATTAACATTAGGGATATCATAACCGTCACATAAATTGCTCATATTGTCTTCATAAAATCTACAAATTTCATCAGAAGAATATTGAAAATAATAACATTCAGATCTACCATCTTAATCTTTTTCATGTCTTCAGCGATTTAAAAATGGGTTAATCACGTCAATTAGCAATAGGAAAGCGCAAAACAAAAATCTTTATTACATCTGTATCCAATGCTAATCTGTGACGTTGTACCTCATGTACCAATCATTTCATCAATCTGCAGTAATATGTTTTATACATCTTTCTAAACCTGTATTGACTGGGTTCATTCAAAATAAAATACTGAATAAATTTAGAGCGTTAAATTCTAATGCCAACTTTTTTGCCCTTTTTTTGTTCTTATTTATTAAATACATAGCCGGAGAAAAACACATACCGACAGAGAAGACAGAAGGAACATGTCGCTTTCTACAGCGGTAAAGGAAGGCGATCTTGTAAAGACAAGGTCTATTCTAGAAAATGAGACAGGTGATGCCAAGCTGGTCATGCTACGCAGTGTGGATCCTGATGGAAAGACACCTCTCCATATCGCTTCAGAAGAAGGGCATGTCGACCTAGTAAAATATATGACTGATTTGGGGGCGGATCAAGGAAAACGAAGTAGAAGCGGCGACACCCCTCTTCACTATGCGTCTCGGAGTGGTCGCCAGAATATTGCTCAATATCTAATTGGTGAAGGAGCAGATACCAATATTGGTGATAGCAATGGCTATACCGCTCTCTATCTTGCTTCAGAGGAGGGTCATCTTGGTGTTGTTGAATGTTTAGTGAATTCTGGCGCAGATGTAAACAAAGGTTCATATGATGGTTCTACACCACTACGCATTGCCTCACATGAGGGTGATCTCGATGTTGTTGAATGTCTAGTGAATGCAGGAGCTGATGTGAAGAAAGCAGCAAAGAATGGCCTAACACCTCTTCATGCGGCGTCAGAGAAAGGTCATGTAGCAATTGTGAAATATCTAATTTCTCAAGGAGCGAACCTGAATTCGGATGATAACGATGGTTATACATCCCTATACAGTGCCTCACGAGAGGGTTATTTTGATGTTGTTAAATATCTAGTGAATACAGGTGCTGATGTGAAGAAAGCAGCAAAGAATGGCCTCACACCTCTTCATGCGACGTCAGAGAGAGGTCATGTAGCAATTGTGAAATATCTAATTTCTCAAGGAGCGAACCTGAATTCGGTTGATAACGATGGTTTTACATCCCTATACAGTGCCTCACAAGAGGGTCATCTTGATGTTGTTGAATGTCTAGTGAATGCAGGTGCTGGTGTGAGGAAAGCAGCAAAGAATGGCCTGACACCTCTTCATGCGGCATCAGAGAAAGGTCATGTAGCAATCGTAAAATATCTCATTTCTCAAGGCGCGAACCCGAATTCGGTTGATCACGATGGTTATAAACCCCTGTACAACGCCTCACAAGAGGGTCATCTTGATGTTGTTGAATGTCTAGTGAATGCAGGTGCTGGTGTGAGGAAAGCAGCAAAGAATGGCCTGACACCTCTTCATGTGGCATCAGAGAAAGGTCATGTAGCAAACGTGAAATATCTAATTTACCAAGGAGCTAAAACTCATACGGTTGATCACGATGGTTATACACCCCTGTACAACGCCTCACAAGAGGGTCAACTTGATGTTGTTGAATGTCTAGTGAATGCAGGTGCTGATGTGAGGAAAGCAGCAAAGAATGGCCTGACACCTCTTCATGCGGCATCAGAGAAAGGTCATGTAGAAATCGTGAAATATCTAATTTCTCAAGGAGCTAACCCTAATACGTTTGATCACGATGGTTATACATTCCTGTACAACGCCTCACAAGAGGGTCAACTTGATGTTGTTGAATGTCTAGTGAATGCAGGTGCTGATGTGAGGAAAGCAGCAAAGAATGGCCTGACACCTCTTCATGCGGCATCAGAGAAAGGTCATGTAGCAATCGTGAAATATCTAATTTCTCAAGGAGCTAACCCTAATACGTTTGATCACGATGGTTATACACCCCTGTACAGTGCCTCACAAGAGGGTCAACTTGATGTTGTTGAATGTCTAGTGAATGCAGGAGCTGATTTGGAGAAAGCCATGGAGAAAGGATGGACATCTCTTTATACGGCGTCACGTGATGGTCATGTAGACATTCTAGAATATCTCATTTCTCAAGGCGCGAACCCGAATTCGGTTGATAACGATGGTTATACACCCCTGTACAGTGCCTCACAAGAGGGTCATCTTGATGTTGTTGAATGTCTAGTGAATGCAGGAGCAGATGTGAAGAAGGCAGCAAACAATGGCCTCACACCTCTTCATGCGGCGTCAGAGAGAGGTCATGTAGCAATTGTGGAATATCTAATTTCTCAAGGAGCGAACCTGAATTCGGTTGATAACGATGGTTATACATCCCTATACAGTGCCTCACAAGAGGGTTATCTTGATGTTGTTAAATATCTAGTCAATGAAGGAACGGATTTGAATAAAGCAGCAAATAATGGCGTGACATCTCTCGACACGGCGTCACGTGATGGTCATGTAGACATTGTAAAATATCTCATTTCTCAAGGCGCGAACCCGAATTCGGTTGATAACGATGGTTTTACACCACTGTACAGTGCCTCACAAGAGGGTCATCTTGATGTTGTTGAATGTCTACTGAATGCAGGTGCTGGTGTGAGGAAAGCAGCAAAGAATGGCCTCACACCTCTTCATGCGGCGTCAGAGAGAGGTCATGTAGCAATTGTGAAATATCTTATTTCTCAAGGAGCGAACCTGAATTCGGTTGATAACGATGGTTATACATCCCTATACAGTGCCTCACAAAAGGGTTATCTTGATGTTGTTAAATATCTAGTCAATGAAGGAACGGATTTGAATAAAGCAGCAAATAATGGCGTGACATCTCTCGACACGGCGTCACGTAATGGTCATGTAGACATTGTAGAATATCTCATTTACCAAGGAGCTAAAACTCATACGGTTGATCACGATGGTTATACACCCCTGTACAACGCCTCACAAGAGGGTCAACTTGATGTTGTTGAATGTCTAGTGAATGCAGGTGCTGATATGAGGAAAGCAGCAAAGAATGGCCTGACACCTCTTCATGCGGCATCAGAGAAAGGTCATGTAGAAATCGTGAAATATCTAATTTCTCAAGGAGCTAACCCTAATACGTTTGATCACGATGGTTATACATTCCTGTACAACGCCTCACAAGAGGGTCAACTTGATGTTGTTGAATGTCTAGTGAATGCAGGTGCTGATGTGAGGAAAGCAGCAAAGAATGGCCTGACACCTCTTCATGCGGCATCAGAGAAAGGTCATGTAGCAATCGTGAAATATCTAATTTCTCAAGGAGCTAACCCTAATACGTTTGATCACGATGGTTATACACCCCTGTACAGTGCCTCACAAGAGGGTCAACTTGATGTTGTTGAATGTCTAGTCAATGCAGGAGCTGATTTGGAGAAAGCCATGGAGAAAGGATGGACATCTCTTTATACGGCGTCACGTGATGGTCATGTAGACATTCTAGAATATCTCATTTCTCAAGGCGCGAACCCGAATTCGGTTGATAACGATGGTTATACACCCCTGTACAGTGCCTCACAAGAGGGTCATCTTGATGTTGTTGAATGTCTAGTGAATGCAGGAGCAGATGTGAAGAAGGCAGCAAACAATGGCCTCACACCTCTTCATGCGGCGTCAGAGAGAGGTCATGTAGCAATTGTGAAATATCTTATTTCTCAAGGAGCGAACCTGAATTCGGTTGATAACGATGGTTATACATCCCTATACAGTGCCTCACAAAAGGGTTATCTTGATGTTGTTAATTATCTAGTCAATGAAGGAACGGATTTGAATAAAGCAGCAAATAATGGCGTGACATCTCTCGACACGGCGTCACGTAATGGTCATGTAGACATTGTAGAATATCTCATTTCTCAAGGCGCGAACCTGAATTCGGTTAATAACTATGGTTTTACACCACTGTCCAGTGCCTCACAAGAGGGTCATCTTGATGTTGTTGAATGTCTAGTGAATGTAGGAGCAGATGTGAAGAAAGCAGCAAAGAATGGCCTGACACCTCTTCATGCGGCATCAGCGAGAGGTCATGTAGCAATCGTGAAATATCTAATTTCTCAAGGAGCTAACCCTCATACGGTTGATCACGATGGTTATGCACCCCTGTTCAGTGCCTCACAAGAGGGTCAACTTGACGTTGTTAAATGTCTAGTGAATACAGGTGCCGATGTGAAGAAAGGTTCATATGATGTTTCTACACCACTGTGCAGTGCCTCACAAGAGGGTCATCTTGATGTTGTTGAATGTCTAGTGAATGCAGGGGCAGATGTGAAAAAAGCAGCAAAGAATGACCCGACACCTCTTCATGCTGCGTCAGTTAGAGGTCATGTAGCAATTGTGAAATATCTTATTTCTGAAGGAGCGAACTCAAATTCGGTTGGTAACAATGGTTATACTCCCTTGTTTATTGCCTCAAGAAAGGGACATCTTGGTGTTGTTGAATGTCTAGTGAATTCTGGAGCAGATATAAACAAAGGTTCAAATGATGGTTCTACACCACTACGCATTGCCTCACATGAGGGTCATTTCGAGGTTGTTGAATGTCTAGTGAATGCAGGAGCTGATGTGAAGAAAGCAGCAAACAATGGCGTGACATCTCTCGACACGGCGTCACGTGATGGTCATGTAGACATTGTAAAATATCTCATTTCTCAAGGCGCGAACCCGAATTCGGTTGATAACGATGGTTTTACACCACTGTACAGTGCCTCACAAGAGGGTCATCTTGATGTTGTTGAATGTCTACTGAATGCAGGTACTGGTGTGAGGAAAGCAGCAAAGAATGGCCTGACACCTCTTCATGCGGCATCAGAGAAAGGTCATGTAGCAATCGTAAAATATCTCATTTCTCAAGGCGCGAACCCGAATTCGGTTGATCACGATGGTTATACACCCCTGTACAACGCCTCACAAGAGGGTCATCTTGATGTTGTTGAATGTCTAGTGATTGCAGGTGCTGGTGTGAGGAAAGCAGCAAAGAATGGCCTGACACCTCTTCATGTGGCATCAGAGAAAGGTCATGTAGCAATCGTGAAATATCTAATTTACCACGGAGCTAAAACTCATACGGTTGATCACGATGGTTATACACCCCTGTACAGTGCCTCACAAGAGGGTCATCTTGATGTTGTTGAATGTCTACTGAATGCAGGTGCTGGTGTGAAGAAAGCAGCAAAGAATGGCCTGAAACCTCTTCATGCGGCATCAGAGAAAGGTCATGTAGCAATCGTAAAATATCTCATTTCTCAAGGCGCGAACCCGAATTCGGTTGATCACGATGGTTATAAACCCCTGTACAACGCCTCACAAGAGGGTCATCTTGATGTTGTTGAATGTCTAGTGAATGCAGGTGCTGGTGTGAGGAAAGCAGCAAAGAATGGCCTGACACCTCTTCATGTGGCATCAGAGAAAGGTCATGTAGCAATCGCGAAATACCTAATTTACCAAGGAGCTAAAACTCATACGGTTGATCACGATGGTTATACACCCCTGTACAACGCCTCACAAGAGGGTCAACTTGATGTTGTTGAATGTCTAGTGAATGCAGGTGCTGATGTGAGGAAAGCAGCAAAGAATGGCCTGACACCTCTTCATGCGGCATCAGAGAAAGGTCATGTAGCAATCGTGAAATATCTAATTTCTCAAGGAGCTAACCCTAATACGTTTGATCACGATGGTTATACACCCCTGTACAGTGCCTCACAAGAGGGTCAACTTGATGTTGTTGAATGTCTAGTGAATGCAGGAGCTGATTTGGAGAAAGCCATGGAGAAAGGATGGACATCTCTTTATACGGCGTCACGTGATGGTCATGTAGACATTCTAGAATATCTCATTTCTCAAGGCGCGAACCCGAATTCGGTTGATAACGATGGTTATACACCCCTGTACAGTGCCTCACAAGAGGGTCATCTTGATGTTGTTGAATGTCTACTGAATGCAGGAGCAGATGTGAAGAAGGCAGCAAACAATGGCCTCACACCTCTTCATGCGGCATCAGAGAGAGGTCATGTAGCAATTGTGAAATATATTATTTCTCAAGGAGCGAACTCGAATTCGGTTGATAACAATGGTTATACTCCCCTGTGCATTGCCTCAAGAAAGGGTCACCTTGGTGTTGTTGAATGTATAGTGAATGGAGGAGCTGATGTGAATAAATCATCAAATAATGGCGTGACATCGCTCGACACGGCGTCACATGATGGACATGGAGACATTGTAGAATATTTAATTTCTCAAGGCGCGAATCCGAATTCGGTTGATAACGATGGTTATACACCACTGTACAGTGCCTCACAAGATGGTCATCTTCATGTTATTAAATTTCTAGTGAATGCAGGAGCTGATGTGAAGAAAGCAGCAGAGAATGGTGCGACACCTCTTAGTGCCGCGTCATGTGAAGGTCATGGAAACATTGTAGAATACTTAATTTCTCAAGGCGCGAACCCGAATTCGGTAGATAACGACGGCTTTTCACCTCTACATGTTGCTTCACAATTGGGTCATGGCGATGTCGTTAAATGTCTAGTGAGTGCAGGAGGAGATGTAAACAAACCAGCAGTTGATGGTGATCTACCACTTCATGCTGCCTTTCGGGGTGGCTACCTGGACATTATAAAATATCTCATTACGAAAGGAGCAGATATCGAGGCACGTAATAATTCTGGTTGGACAGTTTTTCATTTTGCAGCAGATAATGGTCATTTGGAATCTTTGGAATATTTCATGAGAAACGACACTAGCGGTACATCGGGAAAGAGTTACACCGCTCTTCAAGTGGGACTTCAGGTATTGTGCTAAAATCAAACTGGTTTTACCTAACAGTCGGCAGCGCGCTGGCCGAAAATTAACTATCAATTTAATTGTTGTATGGTGTCTCAGAGGGAAAAAGTGGCTTTTTAAAGGCCAAGATGTTGCATGTTAACACCTTTTTTGTTAAAGGTATATCAATCATGATTTAAAATTGATGTGAAGTACAATTCCTTTTTACAATTACACTTTAGAGTCCTATGAAATTGTTTAAAAAACCCGTTAAATTCCCCTTTCTTCCCGTTTGTTAAGCAGACACTTTAATTGGGCTCAACTTCGACTGCAACTACTTGATTTTGCAGATTTTTTTCATTTTTAAAATTAATTTTATTTGCAACAGCCGCGCGCCACTCCGACTGACTGCAAGCAGTTGTAAATCCCTGCTCTGGACGAAAGCAAAATACAAAATAAGGAAACACTAAATCCTATACCGGAGAGGACACGCATTATACAATGTTCTAAGTTGTGCGTATTTAGCAAAGAAATTGGGATTTGAGCTGGCTGATAGGATCCCACAAGTGAGGTATCACCTTATTCAGCACAGTGCTTTTGAAATCTAATGTTCCTGAAATAAGATTGATTTCTAGCAGTGCTAAAGATATGCGCAAACAAAAATACCTTAATTGAATACTTATGATAACATTTAAATCTTAATTGTCATATAAATAAATTCGAAAAAGTAAAAGACATTATTATGTCAACACAATAACCATTCAAGTGAGTAAGCATTATTTATTCTCCCTGATTGTCTTTTATGTAGGGCAAACTGTATTCATCGATGAGAATATAAAGTAGGGCTACCTGTATGTTTTGTTATGCCTAATTAAAAAAGGTAGGCAGTTTACAGATATGATTTATCTTACAGACCTTCAAAGGTGTCACGCCACTTATGGCTGCCGCAAGGGGGGGACATTCGGACTGCGTACGTCTGTTGCTGGAAAACAATGTAGATATTGAGACAGATGGAGAAGGATGGACAGCCCTTCATTATGCTGCAGCAAGGTGAACTGTTTAGACAACATTTTTTAAACTTAAATATTTTTATTAATTTTCTCTATGACTGTATACAAAAATATGATTCAACTGTATAGTTGATGCATTTAACAAAAACATTCATTATTTTTATCATCGAAGCAAAATAACATATCTCTTTTTTTTTTTTTTACATAGGACGATTAGATTTCAAAATGAATGAGAAACAACTAAAAGTTCCGCTACAATTACATGTCGCCTGTTATTTAAGAAAATGTATGTACACACAGAGAAAAGTAGGTGTAAATTGACTCCCTATAGGGAGTATTACCTTAATACACAATCCTGCCTTACCGAATATCTTCCCTTTACTTACACCTATAAGAAGACAATTATGTACTAGTTAGTAAAACAACACTTCTGCTAATTTCATTAAATTATCAAATATAACCTTCGGTACAACCCCTTATTCTTAATCGAATAACTTTCACACAAATAATATGCCCAAATAAAACATGATAATTCCCCTAACATGACTAAAATATGTGAATTATGCTAATTTTTCTTCATTTGGCAGTACCTATATTGACACGATGCGCCATTGCTGTAGCGCATGCGCATATGCACTGACCAATCAGAGCTCGTCTGACTAAAATAGGGTGTAAAATTACATCCCTCAAATATACACCCTTGCGTATTTCCGTGTTGTACTCCATAAAAGGTGTAATAGTTTCTCCATTTTCGTTTTACTCCCCAAGAACACCTTTTATTTCTCTGTGTGTACACCTGTAGCATGATTATTATTATTATTATTATTGTTTTTTTTTGGGGGGGATGAGGCCCAATTAATAATAATTTTAAGTAAATCTCAAAGAAACAGAATCTCCATTATTTAATCTTTAGTAATGCTATTACCCATAGTATTAAAGTGAAAAACATTGACAGTGTTCATAAATAGTTTTAACATAAAGTTAGTAAAATATATACATAAATGCATGTTATGCTACATTGCTTTAAATAAAGTGGGAATGAAACAATAATGAAGAATCTGCTGGATCGGAAAGCATGTATGAGCACGAGACTTTCTAGAAGAGGCCAGTTACCAATAAGTATTGCACTAAGCTCTGGCAAAGCTGATGCTGCACGGATTCTTCTTCATGAGGTACACGTAGCTGTAACTTATTCAGTTTATTATGTTAATTAGTATGACATCTGATTAAATACCATCAGTACCACCATTACTCATACTATACATTCTCTCCCACTACATCTACTATTTACAACTCATCTACAGCTACCATCCCCCTTAGTTTTGCTGCTATGCCTCCTGCATCCTGATAGTACTCGGGAATAGTATCTTCCTTTGTTTTGATGGTGTTAAGCTAATAGTATATGTATATATTTCATTATTATAATTATGATAATAATAGTAATGATAGACAATAATGCCTTATCTACCTCCAAGTGTCATAATTTTGTATGACTTCTACTCTATATTATGGATAGTGTGTTTTATTTGTAGGCCTATATATATTACCGAAATCAAAATTTATGAAAGGTATCACCATCATTGTATGACAATATTTCAATTCCATCATTTATTGTTTGTTTTTTGGGGGGTTTTTTTGTCACAGGATGCAACATCTATACATCACAGCGACAGTGCTGGTCTAACACCCATTCACCTTGCTACTGTAAGCGGGTTGTCATCAATAGTTGAGGAGTTGGTATCACTAGGTGCTGGTGTGAATTCTCAGTCACACGATGGCCAGACACCCTTGCATGTTGCCATCAGACTATGCCACTGTAAGAAAAGACAGGTTGAAGTGACGACAGCTTTGCAGCAGGTTATTTGATTTGATTTGATTTGATTTATTTATTTCTGTTTGATTTTCTTTTTCTCTTGCAGTTTTACAAATATTTAACAAACAAAACATTGCAAATTTTACACAATCATGACAAAAGAATAAATATGTAAAATTAAGTAAGACAGGCTGTAACTAGTCGAAAATATCAAACAAGACGGTTCACAAAATAAGCATAGCTTGAAAGCATGAACAATAATAATACAAATATGGAGGGAAAAAATATTGGTAAAGGGGGAAAAGAGAGAGAGAGAGAAAGAGAAGAAAAGAAGAAAACAGAAACAGGGGGTGTAAATAAAATTTTACAGATGTATGTAGTAGTTGGATTTCAATTTGATATATAAAGATAAAACAAAGAAGATGCACATTTGAATATTGGGTGGCCAACTTGGGATATATTATAGAATGAGAAGACTCGCAAGGTTTTTGTATTTTTGTTGTTGATAGTTTCTTCTATTTTAGTTTTATCTTTACAAAGACCTTTTAATGAAACTGATTCTCTAAATACCTGACCGTTCAGGAAATAGGAAGGAAATGGAAAAACTTGATTATGTACATTATATATATATATACTCGTTGGCATGTTTGTGTGTGATTGCGTGTGTGCGTGTTAGTTTCCCATTGTTAAACCATAACTCTTTAAAAGGGCTTAGTATTAAACATGCTTAATTTCTCCGTTTGTTTGATGTTATGTTGTTGTTTTTTACAATCGTTCCACTGACTCACAAGGTGTGTGTCGTGCGTGTCGTGCGTGTTCGTAGATGTTGGGGCGAAGCCTTCGAATGACGATGGAGAGAATACGTGCTTATTTATATGGACATGTAGATTTATTATTACTATTAATTATAATAGTGGCATTAGTCGTAGTAATATTCCTATTATATTTGCTACTGTTTTCATCATCATTGTCATTGTCATCATCATTTCATGGTATAAGTACATAATGGCATGTGAATGAATTGCTGCAAGTATGAACTTAATACAAGGCAGTCATCAAGAAAACCTGTAGGAATGTAATAAAAACACTAAATGTAGACATTCTGTATATATTGGTGTGTTTCACCATAATCTACTTCCCGCAATTACGAAATCATAAGACCTTTACCTTTTCATTCTTTAACCCCCAAACAGATACAACAAGAGAGTGATGATGACATATCCTCCGCGGAGGCTCTGATACAATTCCTTATAAATCAAGGATCCAAGGTTGACATCAAGGACAACGAAGGCTTTACACCGGTACAGTATGCCAGAGATGAGCGCATTAGGCAAATGGTATTACGGAGGTGAGAAAATTATAAAGAATTCGTTAACCAGCCTCCTTAAAACATTTTGCTTAACATTCATCACAAAAAGATACATCAACTCAAGGAAATAAAATCTAAGAAATATGACCACATCATTTAGGTACAAAGTTCCTACAGTTATTGTATAGCCCTGCTGATAGATTGATGGATTTTTCAAGTGATTTGTCGATTGCCTATTTTATTTTTCTGCAAACGTCACTCCTCGAAGAAAGCAATTCTTATTGTTTATCAATTGATGGTACTAAATGCCTAAAAGTCAACACAAAGTGGAGACATCACTGTAATATAAAACAGGATATTCTATGACGTAAAACATGGATGTATGATAAGTAATACATCCTAATTATAGATATACTCGTACAACTTTTTTTTGTGTTGTTCTTTTTGCAGCTTATCCGAAGATGATGTTCATGAATTCCGCGGTATGTATAATATACTATTTTCAGTAGCTTTACTTCTCACTAATATTTCATTAAATCCACTGGTCTCCCCTGTCTGGTTACCTTGTCCCTTTTTTGTATGAACAAATTTTAGATCTACCAATTGCAAGATCTACTGAGAGTCATCGCATTATTGGCTGTGAAGGAGGAATTCTACATTTGGATAGCTGTGACGTGACAATGTCGATTCCACCAAGGAGAGTGCAGGCTGGCTCTAGCCACGATGTATCTTTAGCTCTAGTTACTGATGATCCCCCACCTAATCTAGAGGGGGAGTTTCTTACAGGCCATGGCATTGCTATCACATTGCCTGCACAGTGGTACTATTCTAACAACCAGCCTATAACGTTAAGTCTCCCTCATGCCGCAACATTGCTGAAGTCAAACGATGTTCATGCTGACATTATCTGGAAGCACACTGAATCTAATTCAGGTTAGTTGTCAACAGGAGGATGCAAGGGAGTTGTAAAGACAACAGAATATTTTCAGGATTTGCCACGTTTAATTCAAATGGCTATCTTACTTGGCGCAGTGAAAGTGTTAAAAGTATTACAAAGTTTTGGTACGGGGTCATGAATTCGGTTCAAATTAACATCTTGGAAGCATAATTATGCGATCATACAATATTCAGTGATCGATGTCGCGGTTGAAATCGAGTCTAAAGTGATGAAATGGGAATAATAAACTGTTTATGTTGTATAGCTGCCTTTCAAGGTCAATATATTAATTTAGCTATAAACAATGTTTCTTGACTAAACTCGACCAATTTCCCGTTTGGAAATTATATATCACAACTACATATTGTGAGATTTTCAAGGCCGCAGCTACCATTGTATGGCCGTATAGACGCTACTTGAAATTCATCAAGATTTACCGGGAGTACTAGTAAGTGTTTATATTCAATTTATCTCGAAAGCAGAAGGGTTTTAGGGCTAACTTCTCCGGTGCTTATCCATAGGGGCATCCAAATATATCAACATTGTAAAGAATCACAATCCAGCCAATTATTAAAATTTCCCAAAACTTTGTATTACCTTTAATGTTTTTATTTCAAGTAAAAATGCGCTGTACTTTGAAAGATTATTTTTCATACATTCCTCACTCACCTTTTTTCCCATCAAAATAATGACGGTTTCTTTTCAGTTCTTCAAACTAAAATTAGCTTACCTAACGCAAATGTTGTAAACGAAGTACTTAGCAAAAAATTGAAGAAAAAAAAAATCTAAGTCATCAGAGCAAATAGGATTATACAAAAGAAAGCAAACATGTTTAACAACATGTTTGTATAAAAATCAAAGTCATCACAGCAAATAGGGGTATACAAAAGAAAGCAAACATATTTAAAAACATGTTTGTGTTCTAACTCTTTCCCTGTCAATAAACATCTGTTTACAGTTCATCGTGAACGGTCCCTTGATGGTTATACACAATGTATCCTTAAGAAAAGGGACATCAAGCTCGTCGTAGAAGCCACATCTCTCATTCAGGACAATGTACAGCTCTGGATACCGATAAAGCTTCATTGTCATAGTCGTGGTAAACGAATGGTGTGTACCCCTTTCCTTCCCATTGACATGGCACGTGGGGAAGACATCACACTCCGGATGTTCATACACGAAGACTTACCTTACATAGTTCAGGTAATTTATTTATGTATATATGTATATAAATTCCAGGAAATAATGGAGAGCAATTTAGAAATTTGGCACTTTGCGCTTTGTCCAGTAATGATTGTATTTAGCTCTGAAAAATATTATTGCTGTGCGGAAACAATTTGCGCATCCTATCCCCATTTAATTTCTTTGTGAACAGTTCGTCATTATTTATTGTACTTTTGTGTATTTGCTCGAATTTAAAACAGAACTCTAGACTTTCACATACATTTATTCATTATATCTAAATCGTAACAGCCCAAAATGGAACAAAATTGAATGCACCCTTTTCAAACACCTTTACTATTCCAATGAAACCGCTTATTGCGCTACATTGTTTTCACGGTTATCAGAACAGTATGTTTTACCTATCGCAAAGTACCAAGTCTATCATTAAATCGAAGACTTTTTTCACTTTGTAAATTACTTCATAAAGATATTCAAATTTTTGAGACGGGTCTATAGCCAGATGTGTTCGATGCTTTAAATGCTTTTGATTGATAATATAATGACTTAATAAGAAATTATCACCTTGTATACTTCTGAAGAAAGGGCATGGCTTAGCTGCAAATGGTTACATATATCTTTCGATTTTTGTTTTTTTAAAGTCAGTATCTGAAAAAGTCTAATGTTTGACTTTTATTGTACAATCTTCTCTCTCACAAAGTTTTATCCCTTAAATTATTATCAGTGTATAATTAGAAATGTTAATACATACTCTCTTTCTATTTCATCTCCTGATTCATGAGTAGCCTTTCCTAATAATGATGAATGACATCACCTTGTTCATGGTGTTAAAAAGACATATTCCATATCCTTTCAAAATCCCTTTGACCACATGCATGATACATCACGAAAAACATTCTTTAAACAATTATTGATGTAGATAGTTATTTCAAGGAAGATTTTTTCATCAAATTAAACATGTAAAATCTTTAGAGGAAATTACTTTACAACTGTTAAACAGATTTGCATTAAAATGCAACACACTATTAATCTAATCCGGCAGATCATAGAAACTGAAGTGACCATCTCTGTTATTCTTTTGATTACATTCATGATACATTGTAAAAGAAAAATACAAAGCTAAAGAAAGACATTTTTTGACATGTAAATAGTTTTTCCCGATTCATGCAATATTGTGGTGGTGAATGGGGGAAAAAAATGCTTGATATACCATAGAAATATCGAACAGATTTGTATTGAATGCAATGACCTGTTAAAGATAAATTTGAGTTCTGGTCTTGCGATTGAATTATGAAAGAACCGTGTGGAATAAATCAGAAAAAGTTGATCATGTAGTATATAAGTATTGGTGTGTACGGCAAGGTTGTGGAGTTATCAAAATCATACAAAATTTGGCCCAGTCTTGGTAAAAGTAACAAGCACTGTACACAGAAAGATGTATATGGGACTACACAAACATGTGGCATAAAAACCGGGCCTCATTTTAAAGCTGCTACTCGTCATATTTAGAATATGAAGGCATTTGAAGAGCCATGCTTTTCAGGGAACATTTTTTTTGGTTCTTTCAAAACTGCATAATAACAATAATAACGCTCACAAATTAGTTTTCACCTCTCCCCAGAACTCGACCTTCTCTTTAACCAACTTTGGCAGATCAATACAAGTAAAGTGATCATCATTATTACTATAATTCCAATCACTACATTTATAAGATCTGCTGTCACTGTTTTGTGAATGTTCTTAATATAAAATAGGAAATTCAGGAAGAAGAGGAAAATCTGCTATACCATCAGGTACATCCTGGGAGATGTTTTAGTCTCGAACCTGAGTCAAGTGATCTAGAGCTGGAATGCAATGGGGAAAGAAGGGTAATAATTATTCCTTTTCTTGTTAGGTTTGATTGTCTGTGCATTCTCTATTTTTTTAAAAGATGTGCTTGATACAAGTCATAAGATGCAAAGCGATTTTTCTTGTTCAAACTATAAACGGCCTGCTAATGATCGTATGATATTACAGTTTATATAGAATATGCCTCTAATCTGGGATTTGTAATAGTGTGTATATACACGTATATTTATATATAGTTAACAACTACATTTTGTAATTTTTTAAGTGTGAGCAACTGGAACTTCCCGATTTATTTTAGTTATATATATCGTGAAAATGTGAAATATTAAGGTTGACATCCCAAATTATTCAACTAAGGCCCTAATTAATTCAACCGGTCCCCCTTTCATTCCTAAGTTATGAAGATTTTTTTGTTTTATAAGAAGTATTGATAATTGAGTTATGTAAAGATACACACATATATACATATGCGTGTGTGTCACAATTAAAGTGTTAATTTCGCGTTGCACTCGCTAGTGGTTCCATTTCGTAAAAAGTATATGGTAAGTGCCAGATGTTTTTTTGTTTGTTTTAGGTTAGGTCTAAGGTAGTGTTATGATTAGGTCTGCATTTTGTGTTTGGCACGTGGCTGAATTCGATTAGTGTTCGAAATTATCGTGGAGCATTTGGCGCAGGAGCATGTGTCGTAAATCCATCCACAGCGTCTTCAACATTGACCCAATTCTGTTTGGGATAAATAAAGACTAAATATTGTAAATGTGATATTTTATCAGATCATCTCTGCAACAGAATTATTCGACCGGCAGAAGACACTAGTTTTGATGCCCATTACGACGGAAACCAATGCCAGAATGCAGATGATGAAGATTTCAATTTCAGCAACAATTACCAACCAACCCAAGACGGGCATGGCGTTCATGGCTATTATACAGACTGGTTTGTCAATCTTCTTCTTCTTCTCTTCTTTTTCCACGTTCCCCTTCTTGGTCTTTTTCCTCTTCTTCATTTACTATTTCTCCTATACTTCTTCTTATCTTAATTCTTCTCCTCTTTTCCTCCTCCTTTTCAAAAGGTATAATAAACAACAGCATTCAGGTTTTGAATCTAAGCTCACTGCATGTTTGCCATTATGCTTAGATTTTAAGATATCTCTTTTTTTGTAATCAGAAGAAAATGTATCCGGAGGTGATGATATAAGTAGTACAAACAAATATTGGATGGTTTCTTTAAAGGCATCGTTCAACAATGTTAAATCTGAGATCCACGGCCTTATGTGTTATCAGTGTAATATTGAAGCCCTAAACATATCAGCCAGGCGATCGGCTTGTAAAATTCATGGGGTTCCTGACTGGCCTAAAGGTTTATTATTACCATTGCAACATGAGCTACATGAAGGAATTTGTTTTAGAATCTGAGACAAAGTTACCGGATTTACCACAATAAATCAATGTATCTACCTATTATTTGCTAGTTTATCCAAACTACGCCACCTTCGAGAACACTCTAAAAAGTCACAATCGCGCATGCGCCCACCCCCATACATCGCCTTCACGTGCGCATCGCACGCCCGCCATTCATCCTCTTTCGATTCTCGCCCACCACATCACCATCAGCTCTTGTGGCAGCTCTAGGGTGGGACACGCTTCACACAC